TCTTGGTTCTTGGAAATTGGTTCTTTGTTTCTTTGCTCTTCTTTTCATTTCCCTTTTGTTCCACTAGAAGGATGACAATTGTTTCCAAGTAGTTCTGAATATTGTCTGCTATTATACCAGTGAGTAATTTAACCATTGTAGGCAAGCATTTTATTTGCCTGTAATTTGCTAATGTAAGCCTTTTGCTAGGTTTTTTTTTAATAAGATAAGTCCTGTCAATTGCTAGCCAATCACTAATATCTTCTCTATTCAATGCATTGTTAATGTGAGGTTCTAGACTTAGTCTGAACCCGTTATTAATCGTGCTAAAAATATATTTTAAAATAGAAGAAAAGAAATTGTAATAAATGAACACAATGCAAACGTAAATAATTTGAGTCCCAAGTGCAGCTCAGACATGTGTTAAGCAATAAATCAGTGTCAGGTTGGAGAGTTTCAACTTTGACTCTGACGCTTGTATACAAATGATCGAAGTTAAACTGAGTCGGGAAATGGGGAAGTTTAATGAAAGGAAAATGTTATGTTCAATAGTTAACATTCCAAAATGTCAGAACAGAGATCATAACAATCAAAAATACAAGTGCAGGTTTTGAAGTTCCATCATCTCCCAGTCAGAGTTGAGGAATGGTTCCAAGTTGAACACCGATGATTGATCTTTCTTGTGACCCGATCCGATCTTATTTCCACCTGGAACAAAGAAGGAGACTAATCAGTAAACAGCAAGAGGAAATCTTAACCAATTGGAGCAGGAAATTTGAGGATGAAATCCTTTAAATACCCTGGATTTCAATGACAAGGCACAGATTTCTGTCATTTTGTACTGTTTAATTAATTAAAGTGACCCATGAACACCTCTTGTCTTTGTGTGCTGTCACTCTTAATGAAGTTCCATTGTTCCTGCCTGTGCTTTGCTGTTGTCCTCCATTTGCCAGACTATCCACAACATTTCCCCTGGATCCCAACGACATGACAAGGTTCCAACAGCTACAAATTAGCATTCATGGACTCTCTATTGATTTTTGTCAGAGAGAAGGAGCATCTCTCAAAATACTTTGTAAGCCCTTATTATATAAAATAAATGGGTTTCATTTGTAAAGATACCGGTAGTGGTGGACACACACTGACTCAGTTTGAATTCTTGTCGTGGAATTCCACATTCTCTCATGAGATCTCTTGCTTTTGCTTGGAGAATTTCCACAGTCACCTATTGTGCATGTGTTTCATAAAATCTTGTAGTTATTCTTCTAACTTTGGATATTCCAGTTTTCGGTCCACAAAATGATTTTTTTGTACTTTTAGATTTAAACAATGAATCTCTCTGATTATACCACTTCCACACACACACACACTTCTGATATACTGAACTCAAGACCTGCAACACAGTTATTACTTTTATTTTAAAAGAAGCTGTGTACTGTGTTTTTCATACTTTTCCTTTGCCAAAACCAACCGTATCTTTCTACTTACACCAGCTAACAGTAAAATAAACATTCAATTTGTACTCCTGAGGTCAATGAATGTATGCCTTATGTTCCTTTATTTATTATTGTTTTAAACGTGTTATATCTAAAATATTTACATAAATATCTAGTTTATATTAATAATTTAAATTAAATTTAATTTAATTAATTAAACATTAAAATAAATATACTGTAGGATAAAATAATTTATGTTAAAGTAATAATAAATGCCAGAAAAGTGGCAACATGATTGATATTCAGACAAACAAAGAATTAAAAACATTAAATTAAGAAAATGTATGATAGTTTTCATGTACTAATACTTGCATTTGACAAAAAGTAAATACTTCGTTATCTGATTATATAAAAATTACATTTAAAAACATAAATATAGTCAATCCCCCCTATAACACTGTTGATTATTCCGTTTTATATGAATTCCATGTTGTACGAGTCACTTAGATTTTACAAATACGTGTGCTGGGCTGTGAACGGCTTACGTATTTGTAAAATCTAAGTAACTCGTACAGCATGGAATTCATATAAAACGGAATAATCAACAGTGTTATAGGGTGGTTGACTGTAATATAGAATAACAGTTTTACTGGACATGGTCAGCAGTCAGAAGTGAATTGATATATCCATAGAATCAACATTTTGACTTTATTCCAAAAAACAATTGCAAAAAGAGTTTTTTTTTACAAAAACAGCACACAGAAGCAGATCATGGCAAAAAAGGTCATACCAGAAAGTGATAATGGCAACATGAACTATACATGGTTCACAAAAATTATTGCAAAACTTCAAAGAATCCTTTGCTTGCATGTATAGGACAACCTAGGTTTTTGAAGCTGTGAAAAAATGAATAGAAACCTGTCTTATATGCGAGTAAATATGGTATTATTATTGTGTTAGTAGAGTGTAGTCTATATGGCATATATACTAGTACCTAGAGCTAAGCTGAACTCAAAGTCAAGGTACAACTACTGAAAACAAATCTTTTGTTAACATTCTGTTTGTGTGTGTACATGTGTTTAAGAATTTCCTGACTGTGACATGTGTTTAGTATTGCAGCTTTCTGTAGTATGATGTATGTGCCATTGCAAAGTTCAGATATTTTAAGAATGTTGTGTAGTGTATATGGTTATGGCACCTGTGCAAAAAAGGATACTGAAACAATAAGTACCTAATCCTTTCTTCACAATGCTTTATTTCATGGGCAAGTTTTGAGTGTTTACTAATTTTTTCAGTGTATGTATTTTGTATGTTGTGAGTATTTGGTACAACAGTGACAATGATGATGACTACATTAGGATAGAAGACACTGCACAGCTACTAGGGCTGTTTTTGTTTAATGTCAGTGTTGTTTTGGTTGTTAGGTTACACGAGTGGTTGTGTGCGCAGGCAATTGGATTTGGGATGGAGGTCTGAGAGATGGCAAGTTGACTGGAGGAGGTTGGCGAGATGGCACCTCAGAAGTGAATCACTTGGATGCCAGATTAATAACTAATAACCGTTTAATTTCAAAGCAAAAGAGTACATGATACAATTTACAATTTAGTAAGACATTAAATTTAATGGATCTATATAACATACATGATCGCACGAGAGAGAGTTCATGAGTTTTGTATGGAGATAAATACATGTAGTTTGAAGGATCTGTTTGTAGGCCTGATGCAGGAGAGAATTTGGCCTGTCCCTTAGGAAGGTTAAATAACAAGAAGGTTGTCATGTTAGAAGCGTTCTGGATAATCTTACAGGTCAGAGTCAATTGTATACATTTTGGAGGCAGAATTAATGGTATCGGTCAAGGAATTGGTGACGACATGTTATAGGACTGGGTGGCGACTTGTTGCATCGGGGAGGAATGGGTGATGACTTGTTGAGTTGTGGAGGAATGAGTGACGACTCCCTCATTCAGCCTTTAATTCTGATATTAAAAATCAGTAATGAATGGCCAGGAGGTCAAAGGATCATGGGAAAGTGCCGCTTTCGCCATTGACAGTGTGCAAACTGAAAAGTTCTCAGGTAGTAGATGAAAACAGTTATCCAAGTAGGTAGGACAAAATTGTATATTTTTTCATCAAATTCTGGGTTCTCACACAAACTAAAGTATGTTTGCACTATACGTAGGCTGATTTTTTTTTTTTTCAAGCTCCAATGATCCATAAAAAAAGACAAGTGTAAATAACAAAATGAATTTATTACCAAAAGTTAGGTATAAACATGGTTATTTTTCGACATAATTACTATGAAGATTGAGGCATTTGTCATATCTGTGGAGGAGCTTTTCCGCTTCCTTGTCATAGAATGTTACCACCAATGACTTGAGATGGCTTTAACAACATTGTTTTGAAGATCATCATTAGTTCATTAGTCTCAAATTTCTGCCCTGCTAGTCATGTTTTCAGTTCAGGAAAGAGGTGGAAGTCTTACACATCAAAAAGTTTTAAGCTGGGTGGAAGTCTGAAAGGTGAAAGTCTTCACCATCTTTAAACACCCAGCATATAGCCCTGATTTAGCACTGAGCGACTTCTGCCTCTTTCCTGAACAGGAAAAGTGGCTAGGAGGGCAGAGGTTCAAAAGTAATGATCTTCAAAAAAATGTTAGAGCCCATCTCAAGTCATTGGTGGTAACATTCTATGACAAGGAGGTGGAAAGCTCATCCACAGATATGACAAATGCCTCAATCTTCATAGTAATTATGTCGAAAAGTAACCATGTTTGTACCTAACTTTTGGTAATAAATTCATTTTGTTATTTACACTTCTCTTTTTTTCGGAGCTTCAAAAAAAAAAAAAAGCTCTCGTATATGATTTTGTTCATTATAGTGTATTTTATGTGTGTGTTGTTTTGTATGATCTTTTGAGCTGTGTATTCATAGTATGGTTCTTGGGTGTATAGTAGTTTATGATTTTGTGTGCAAGCTTTTGATATATTTGCTATTTGTTTATGTTGTTATATGTAGTCAGTTGTTTATGCATGCAACCCAATATGATGTGCTATGTAGTCTCATGCATGATGTAACATTTCCTACAGATGTTGTCTAAGTATTTTGTCTTTTTAAAATGTGCTATCTATAGTTTCTTGTATTTATAACCTAGTCTTGTATGGCAACTCTCCTGTCTCTCCAAAGAGGCCTCCATGAGTAACCTAGCAGTTTGATACAATCCTGTCAATGTGATCCTGGCTGAGATTGTTAGGGTGCTACTCTGAAGCTTCTGAGCCCAGGATTGTTTGATGGTATCTGTGCATTTTGTATTAGATTCAGATTAGTATTGGGTAAATTTTATTTTGTACTGTTTTTGTCAGCAAGAGTTACTGCTTTGTGTAACTTTGTAGTGTTTGTTTTCTATAGAAAAACTCTTGTAATGTCTGTATTTATCTATTCTGCAGATTAAAATATCTATGAAGTCTTTATTATTATTTAAGAATCTAATTGCCAAGTTTTTGTGTGCAGAGTTTTTAAAATTACATGTTAAATTATTGATTTCAAGTTTTTATATTCTTAGATTATGCTTTTTATTTTTATATAATTAGGTATGCTTAGATTTTTCAAAAAATACAAGTTTGCTTGCTACAGGCAGTCTTGATAGCCAAGTATATTTGTGGGATATTGAAACTGGAAAATCTATTAAAACATTAATAGTAAGAAAAATTTAATTTACTATATTCATTTTATCAAAATTAATTTAAAAACTATTTATATAACAAATTTAAATAATTTCTTATATTTATATAATTTATTGTGAACATTGCTTTTCTATAGTATTTATTCAAGATAATTTGTGTATATGTTACTGTGAAAGACCGAAATTAGAGAATGTCAATATTCTCCAGTGAATGTTGACACATACAAAATACATCGGTGAAAGACTGAATATTTAGTTATATTATATACATTCGAACAATTGCCGGTGTATGTCGACAAGCACAGATAAGCTTTGGTGGAGGTCGAAACGACACCCGAGAAGCCAATGTCAACAGAGAGGCGACAGTCTGTTGCCAAATCCTTTGTGGGTAGCCGGAGGTAGGACAAGGTCGTACCTCTTTTCTTGGCAACGGTTTGATGGAAACCGTCCACTTTGTCACTGGATGGCATTTTTGTTCTTTTGAACGGTTTGTCAGGTTTAGTGGAGGATAAGAGGATCGTTGGTAAGGCGTCAGCGATGTCCGAATAAAAGACACCATTAACAGATTCGTAATCACGTAACCAGTTCGTAATTTGTAAAGAAAAGTTACTTTCCATAGATGAGATTTCTTCTCAAAAAATATTGCTGAGAGAAGCAGCTGCAGCTAATTTGAAAAGTGGAGGGCAAGGCTATACATGCTGTCATTGCAAAAAAAAGTGTTCCACGAATAAATGCAGTTGTAAAAGCAAGGGACTCTTGTGCAATTCAAAGTGCCATAACAGTTTAAGTTGTTGCAATAAATAATTAATCACATAATATATGTGTAAGTTTACTATTGCGTATTATTTTTCTTTTCTGATTAAGAATGTACTGCTTGTTTTAGGTTCAACAGTTTATTTACATGTGCTGTTACTTAAGCTTTCTCCTATTTTGACATATTAAAATGTTGCATTTTTGTCTTAACGTAATAAAAATATTTTTNGTCATTCTGACGCTCTGGGGGAAGAGAATCCGCGCTCGAGTCCGGGTCATCTCATAAATTTTCGCGAACGAATCGATTCGAATCTATTGGATACCTTCTCCCGTTGTATAGCTTTGGTTTATTCGTTTACGGCAAAGTGATACGTGGGCGATCTACCGAGGGGGGATGCTTCCGAGAGGATTTTCTATGGAAAACTGGCCCCTATTTAGGTGTTAACTTGAATTATTTAAACAAATTTTATTAATCAGCATAGAAACAATATATAATATATATATATATATATAAACTCTACTTTTCAGTGTTAACAAAACTACATATACACTGTTATCTTCTGGGGAACTGTAGAAATTTTAAAATATTTTCTACAAATGTTAATATTAATATATTAACATTTGTACTAGAAATATAGTATTTTTTATTATAATATTAATATATAACAAATACAATAATAATAATTTAATATTTTTCAAATAAATTTAATATTTTGAACAAACAAATGTACTATTTACTTTTTGAATTGACAAACAGAAATGAAATTTTTAAGTACAAAGTAATATACTTTTCCTATGGTTTAATATATATCATATATGTACTGTACACTCACAAGCTAGCCATTGAACAGTGAATTTAAATTAAATTCACTGTTCAATGGCTAGCTTGAACAGTGAATTTAATGAATTGAATTTAATGAGTCAACACATATGAGTCATTCAGAGACCAAACTGATGAACTCCATTTTTTCAGTTTTTTTCCAATTTTAGTACCAGAGCAAGTGATTGGTGCTTAACTTTTCAAAAAATAAATTACCTGGATAATTTTATTTGTCATCATGAGATGGCCAAATTTTTATTGTGTAAATTCCCTTTACTCAAGAGCAAGTTTTGTGGGAATTATTTATATTTGATAACAATTTGATCCTGCTGTAGAAGGGGCTTGGCTGACAATATCTGATTTGTAACAGATTGATTTCAACAATATCTAATATACTAAGTTACTAAAATATACATTAAATTCTGACAATATCTTATATACTAAATCAGTATGTATATTAAATATATACATTCTCGATAATGTTTTCTTAGTCACTAGACCTCAAGTTTCTGCCTCCGGGATGTTCAGTCTATACTCTGATTACACTTTAAGACTTTTGTGGATGAGTCTTCATCTAAACACCTCTTTCCATCCCTTAATTCAACAGATGGGAAATTCCGAAGTAAAGTCCTTATGAGATTTTGTTCCTTATGAGATTTTGTTCCTTATGACATATATATTGGATCTATGTATATGTTGTCACCTTCCTTCTATTAAGAGTAACTAGTTCTTTGTTCCTTCCTACACATGCTCATCTTCTTGATGATCTCTTCTGCATGCTTGATGGTCACTTCAGACAAGATGAAGCTCATTGAGGGAAGATATGTCATAACCTCAGTTCTCTCATTCTCATACCTTTTCTATAAGTCACCTTCACCTTTTCATCAATTAGGATGCTTCATGAAAATAGCCTGGTTGAACCTCTTTGGAAGTTCACCTAACAAACTGAGACTGTTATCTCCTCTGGCAATAAGTTCAACCGAGGCTTTGTAACAGCTCTATGACAAACAAACAAAAAAAAAAAAATATTGGACAGGGGTACCACAATTGCTACTGAATATTACCATATTTACTTGAATGTAAGACACTTATCTTACCATTTTGTACCATTTTACACTTATCTTACTTGAATGTAAGACACTTATCTTACCTCTTTGATGATGGCACCATCTGTCACCGCAGTATCATACCATTTGCAAGATCATCTTATTAGCAAAAACAGAAAGCTTTCTGTTTTTGCTAATAAGATGATCTTGCAAATGGTATGATACCGTGGTGGCAGGTGGTGCCATCATCAAAGAGGTGTCAAGGTTGGCAACAGAGAGAGAAAGAGAGACTTATTAGTGTGGGTTTTTGGATGGAATCCTCAGAAAGTATGTGCTGAGTTTGAAGTGTAAGGAGAGAACAATGAGTATTCATCAGCTGGAATCAGTTGTAATTTTGTGTGTACAAAGGTACTGAACAATAAAGATTGTTTATTTTTAACAAAAATATTGTAATGGAATCCTTTTTTTTAAGGAAACCCAAAATACTGTTATAGTTGTCAGATCTAGCAAATTATTGTCAGATTTTGATATTTCAAGCCAATTGGCAATATGGCAACAATTTTTTTAATCTGGAGGTGTTTTTTGTTTCTGTGATAAACTTGTCTAACAACATTTTATTGGTAGCTTTCAACTTCATACTGATAAAACAATTGAACTAAATAATGCTTTTGGTTTAACTCAACTTTTTAATTAGGTTTAAGCATTTTGCAACTATTTTGTTCTATCTTCAGATCAGTAAAAACAATCTCAATGTGATTTAAACTTATTCTATTGAGATTATTAATATTCTAAATTGTATGCAATTTTCAAAATATATAAAGCTGTTTTTTGAAAATTCAATTTTAATTGCTCATAAGTACTGTACTTTGATCATGATCTGTATATTTGAAAGGCAAAACTAAAACAGTAAATCTCATATTTTGATTGCAGACTGGCAAAAAATTTCAGATAGGCAGTTGGAAATCATGGCTGTAATGGGTTGTTTAACTTGTTTAAAAACAAGTTAAACAACCCATTACAGTTTTAAGGTTTGTTTAATTGTTTAAGGTTTTTGGGAGATATTACAGTCTTTTCTGTTTCCAGATCTGCTCTGTATTGAAGACTCGAAAATCTTACCACTACAATTGGCAGTGGTGATGATGATAACAGTAAAAGAATTTATTGGCGTAAATAATGATGATGATAATAAATAGAATGGCTATATTGGTTTTTGTTTAAAGTCCTTTAATAAATAATGTTAAAATGGATTCTTTTTAATAAGTAATGTTATGATACATAGTTAAATTTGGTGTGTTCATTTTTTTTTTTTTTTTTTGTAATTTTCATATTTCAGTTGTCAAATTGATTTCTCCAAGTTCTGCAAATTTGATGAACAATTATTCTTAATACATGTCTTTTTACATCATAACATAAAATCTACATGTTTAATAATATATTCTATGATATTTGTTTGTGTATATATTTCGAAGAAAATAATAAAAAATAATGTATGTCATTTTATCAGTTTTTTCCATTTTTTGTTTGATGGAGTTAGTCACTTAAGCTTCTGAGTGGCACATGTCTGAGACAGATCACTCACAAAAAATTTCTAGCATTCTTGATCTGGACTTGTACCCAAGCCCCTGAATGACTACTCTGTTTACTTGGGTTTGATTTCTGTGCACACTATTGTGTTTCAACATGTTATATACCTACCTACCTGCAGAAAGAATCAGTATCAAATAGTAACAGGTTACATCATTCATTGTCTTTAGGCCTATACATACTCAGTAATCTGGCACACTAACTAATCCAATACCCCTCTATGCAAAAAATGGCAGATTAGCAAGAGTCTACTGTATTAGTTTTACTTTTTTGAAACCATGTCGGTGATTATTTTTGTCATTTTTGAACACCATATAGTTCAGATACACGAACACTAGGCAATCTTCATTTTAAATTTATTCAATTTTTAGTTGAATAAATTTAAATTTAAATACTGTATTAGTATTTATTACAATTATGTTTATTGTTTATGTAGCTGTTGCATTAAGTTTTAGTTATAAATATTTTAGAAAATTAGTTGGGATTTAGGATAAACATTGTAACATTATAATTTTCTCATTTAAAGTAATGGGAAATAGGCTCCCAATGTTTTTCCACAGAATATGATTGTTAAGATACTACTGAATGATTACCAATTACTGATATTAAGTGTGGAATCCTTGTATTTGAAATATATATCAAAATCACATAATTGTATTGTAAAAAATACACGAAAATTAAATTTTCATTCTGTTTCAACTTATGGATGATAAATAACTTTTAAACTTTAAAACATTATTTAAATGATGCAATAAAAGTAGAAAATAAAAAAGAAAAGCGAACCCAAATGCTGAAAAATTCTTTTAATTATACCAATAATTCCTCTAAATGCATTTTGCTGGAAGAGTCTCCTCAGTCGTGTTACCAGTGGATAAATAGTTCTGAATTTCAACAATATCCTAGTACAGATTTACATTTATATACCCAATAAATGTTTCCCAGCATGCAGCTGTCAGTACACCAGTATTTAAATTAACTGTTTTATTTTGCATAATTATAGTGAAATGTTCTTTTACTTTTCTTTTTATATTATACTAGCTGCAAGGACCCGCTTCGCTGGGTTTTTGTTTGTTCGTACATTTGTATGTAATATAGTTTTTGTTTTTTATATATAAAAGANATTATTGTATCAAAATTACATAATTGTATTGTAGAAAATACACAAAAATTAAATTTTTATTCTGTTTTGACTTATGGAGGATAAATAACTTTTAAACTTTGAAACATTACGTAAATAGCACACTACAAGTAAAAAAATAAAAAAAAAGGCAAACCCAAATGCAGAAAAATTCTTTTAATTATACCAATAATTCCTCTAAATGCATTTTGCCAGAAGGGCCTCCTCAGTAGGGTTTTCGGTGGATAAACAGTTCTGAACTTCAACAATATCCTAGTACAGATTTACATTTATATACCCGATAAAGTTTCCCAACATGCAGTTATCAATACACCAGTATTTAAATTAACTGTACTGTATTATTTTGCATAATTATATACAGTGAAACATTCTTTTACTTTTCTTTTTATATTATTTTTTCTGATAAACAATTTTTATGTTATTAATATCAATTTCACAATTATTAATATTACAATGATGAAAAATAGGAGCATTATTATTTCTTGATCTTACTGATGCTAAATGTTCTGACAATTTGGTCTTCAATTTTCTTTTCATTTTTCCAATATAGAAATTTGAGATATTGCATGTGCATTCCAGTCTGTATACCACACCTTCTTCTGAAAGGTTCTTTTTTATACTTTTTCTTATAATCATCAGATCAGATAACCTATTGTTTTGGGTTGGAGCCAGTTTAATTTGATTTTGACTAAGGATCTTATTATATTTTTTATATATACTTTTAATATATGGAAATGATACATTTTGTTTAATCTCCTGTTTTTCTTTCACTTTATATCTGTCCCACATGAATCGTTTGTACCAACTATTCAATATTTTCATTGTATATCTGCTTGTCTGTGTAGACATACAAACCTGCTTATTGTGATCATTTTGGAACTTACTTATTCTGATAACATTAAGTGAGATAAGTAAATAAGATTACAATTAATAGAAATTCTGGTTTTATTGACTCTGACATTAAATGTGCATGTTAAAACAGTTAAAAATTGTATAATTTGAAGAGTTTTTAATTATAATTATTATTGGGCTGCAATTTAAAAAAATTGTAGACCTACAAATTTCCACTGCTGTCCATCCATCTGACTGTCTATATGTCTGTCCTTCCTTCCTTAATCTTGAGAACAGTGTTAGATAGATGAAAGTCAAGACCAGATATAGTATAGTTAATTGGGACCTCCTGCCCTAAGCAGCAGGAGATCCCAATTAACTATATACAAACTTCTGCTTTGGGATGAAGTCATGTTATTTCAATTCAGAAATATTCTGAACAGAGTTAGATACATGACTGGCATGATTTCATTGTTAACAGGAAAAGTATGATGTACAGAGCAAGACACTATTAAACTTAAGTGCATTATGATGAAAAATTTCAGCCCAGCATTATGATGATGTTACAGTAAATAATTGCTCGTTGTTAATTAATATATAATTAATCTGGTATCGTTTATCTGTCACTGCTTTTAACAACAGCTAGTGCATAATTGAAATAAGGATTTCTGTAAATTAAACTACTTTGAGTTCTCTTTATCAATGAATCTAGACTTACTCTGTAGTTGAACAACTGACAAGTTTTCATCTGAAAAGAACAAGGTACACAAAATTATCCAACATTTATGCAGGAAACATTACACTATAGCAGAGGAGGATTGATGGTTTGGGATGGCATAAACATTGGTGTGTGTACAGACTTACACATCATCAGAAATGGCCACATGTATAGAGTTTAACAGGTATACAAAGACAAGATTCTCTGACCAATTGTCTTGCCATATGCTTGAGCTATTGGTGAGTCATTTCTACTGATGGACAATAATGCCCAATCTCATCAATGTCAGCTAGTGGCTAATAGTCAGCTAACTAACATGCTTTTGGGAAGTAGGAATTGAACATATGCAGTGGCCAACATGATTCCTGGACTTAGAGCTTATTGAGCATGTCTGGGATGTCCTTTATAGACAGGTTGCAGCAAGACCAACACCTGCTTTGATTTTTCATGAACTGAAGATAGCTCTTCATGAGAGTGGCAACAACTCCCACAATACTTAATTAATTAATTACAGCTAACACAGGTATGCTGCAGTTTTAGCTGTTCAAGAGAACCACAAAAAAATTTTAGTTTTACATGATATTGATTAATACCTTATTAGAACTCTCTACTATCCCAAATATCCGTGATATTCTTTTATGAATCCACATCTTCTTGTACAACATTTGACAACATGCATTTCAAATGCTAAATTTGCCTATCATTGTTGTTATTGTGTTGTTCATTAAACACACATTATAACAAGATTATTTTATATTTCAGATTGTTAGTCATATGTACATTTCCTTGAAATATCAAATGATCCCCTGATTGTTTTGACCAGTGTAGTTGCATTGCAATTATGTCAGTTATCACAAGTTGCAATGTAGAATGGGTTTAAGATAGAAAATGTTATTTTACTGATATTCTTATTAAATTTGCTAGGTGTAAAAGAAGTTATATTGAAACAGAAACAAATTAATTTTGGTGTCTGCTTGATTTGATTCATCTATTTGAGGCAGTTTAAACTCTACAGGGTGTTTTTGGAAGAAATAGCTGCTCATCACAGTTTCTTTCAGATTATGTTACAGGCTTGCTAAGTAAACAAACCATAATCTGGTTTGCATAATCTGTTTTATATATAATGGATCATACCAGTGGTTTGCTTACTTAGTTGTTTGCTACCTAGACATGCATATTCCTAGGCATTGAAGATTACTAAATTGGACTACTTTTAGTCAGTTCAGCTATTGAAAAACTAAAAATGTTGTATCTTTTATGATTTAGCTACTTGCAATTTTCTGAGATATATGAACCTGAATTTGGTAGTATAGTAGCTAATAAATTTATAAATTTTTTTATTAACGTTTATTTAAAATTTGAACATAATCAATCTTGTGGGAAAATAGCAGTGTGTTCTCTTCTCGTGCTTGCTCCCTTCTGGTGTTTTTCAAAGATTGTAATAAAAATAAACATTCTGTCTTTAATTAATTAAATTTTTATAAATCAGCTCTTTTTATTTTATTGAGGCAGAGCATAAGCAAAGCCTTTTCTTCATGGCTTACAGAATTGTGTTTGTTCTCAAAATTTGATTGATCAGTTTTAATTTTGCCATTTTCCATTAATTGAAATAAGGAATTCAAAAACTATGAATATACAGAAGAATATTGAAAATATCATGGACATATAAGATTGCCGATGAGGAGATATTAAGTTGAATTGAAAAAAAATAAAGAAATAACATTGAACGTTAAAAGATGAAAACTTCAGTACCTGGCCACATCATAAGAGAAGTATGATCTGCTGCAAGTGATAAAGGAAAAATAAAAGATATAAGTAATAGAGGAAAGAGAAGAACATGGCTGAATAACTTGAGACAATGGTATGACTGTAGTTCCAGCCAACTTTTCAGAGCTGCCGTATCAATAAAGAAGATAACTGTGATGATATGATTGCTGATCTTCAGAATGGAGATGGGACTTGAAGAAGAATAAAAAATCTGTTGAATTTGTTTTTGAGATACAATGGGATCAAAGTGACGATGTGCCCTGATGTGATTGGGTACACCTAATGTAATTTAGGGAGCAAAAATTAAAAAAATCATTGTTTCTCTGTCTGTGGTGAACAGGTGTAAGGACTACCTTCTTGTGTGGCCAGCAACTTTTTTTTCTCTGATCGCATGCATGCCCTTACATACACATTCAAACATGTATCAGCACTTGGGTTAGATGGAGTGAAAGGTAATTCGTATTATTTTATATTTTAATAATATGTAATATATAAAAATATAATAATAATATATGTTTATATATTAATACTAATTAATAAATTTTTAATTACAAAAACTCAGTGCTCTGCTTAATTCTATCACAATATAACAAAGTTGCAGTGTTCCTAGTATATTATTATATCTGTTTATTAGATTATTATGGAAAAAGTGGTTTTTCCCTGCAGCACTATTGAGATAACATTTGCATAATTGAGCCAGCCTACTATCTCAACTACTGTCTATGTACTGTACATTTTAATATAAAAATTATATTTATTTCTGCATCCAAATAAAATAAAATTGTATAAATTTTAGATATATAAATATATATTAATAACCTTCTTAAATTTTAATTCAGGGTCATAGTAGAGAGATTATATCAGTTTGGTTTAGTTCACGGGAACAACTTGTGTTAACTGGTTCATTTGATGGCACTGCAAGATTATGGGATTATCGAACAGGAAGGTTAGTTTGTATTATTATTGTTATTATTTAATAGCATTTGTTAGCTATTAAATAGCTGTTAAATATTTATTGATATTTTTTATAAGATAATAAGATTGGTTTTATTGATTTATTGATGTATGTGTCTATAGAGCATGATTGGTCAATCCTTGGCATGGATGCCAAATGTGCACACAAACAACTTTTGATCCAATCTACTTGTTACTTGTCCAACTCAGATTAAATACAATATAAATGATAATTTTGCATCGGAACTATACCTTCAAATGGAAAGTGCGCGCCAAATAGTGCAAGAACCATGCTGAACAAGCTGCTAGAGAATGCCAAAAACATCATCGAACTCATAAGCTACTTACATATCAAGTGGGTGACTGGGTTTACCTTAATGAAATAGTCGTTCCCCAAGGGTTAAAGAGAAAACTAGCATGTAGATGATCAGGTCCTTTCTGAATTATAACTGAACTGAGCCCCATCACTTTTATAATCGGAAATATCCAAATTAAGAAGCAAATCCAAGTTCACACTAATCACTTAAAGTATTTTACAGCCTGACAGGAATTTGAAGGGATAGAGATTTTAGATTTACATACTACTCTGACTCTTACGAAACCCGAATCATGAGATACCTTGTTTACAGTGGATCCATGAGACAAATTTATTTTAAGAGAAATTCCACAAGAATCTGAAGTAAAATCTGAATCCGAGACTAAAACTGACAGCAAGGATGATGATGAAACAGAACCCTCCACCACAGAGGAACAAAGAGAATCAGCTCTCTTGCATTCTTATGCTTTGAGAAGTCAAGAGTCAGTGGAAGAACAACCTTGGATCCCTCCACCTCCTTGGTGACATTGAATTCCTAAATTTGTCTCTCCTTCGACAAGCTGACCCTCCAATGAAGGAAAGAAATAAAAAAAATCTAGTCAATGGAAAAGAAAAAAATGGGGTCTATGGAGTCTATTTCCGAAGAAGGGAGAGAAACTTAATCCTGACCCTAAATTTCTACTAACCTTCTCACTTAATATGTAACTTTAACATTGTAATCTATCTTACATATTTTACTGTACTTAGCATCTAATCAATCTGCCTTCCTTTATTCAGAGTTCAACATCCAACAAGACTCAGCAATCATGCACATATGCATCCTCCTCCAAACTCTCCTCCTTGCCTCAACAGTTTATGCTCCGTACATAAGACTAAAGAAAGAAGCTTATAATCTACACAAGGGCATTGTCTTTGTGCATCAAGGAAACTTCTTTATGACTACCAATTAAGCTCAGAAACATTAACCTCGAAGACAATGAAGTTATGACCATAATGGATTTTAAATCCTTATTTCCATCTATAAAATTACCACCTTGCTTTTGCAAGCTGAGAGACTTCCTTTTTTCTAACATTAATAATGCAATGAAGTATCACCAACACATATTAGAGCTTGCATACCTAATTTGTTATACTTCGTTATTTGTATTTGAAGGGAACACACATTTACAAGAAAGAGGGGTTCCATTGGGGAGTCTGATATCCCCATGATTATGTGAACTAGTATTACGACGATTAGAAAGTAACGTACTGCCCGCCTTCATAAACGATGTACTTTTATATGCAAGGTATGTAGATGATGTTTTCATCATTTGGAGGCATATTAATAATGCTCAATGATTCCTTAACAAAATTAATAACAACTCATATGGTTTGACTTTATCAATGGAACAAAAAGTGACATTAACTTAAATTTTCTGGATCTGTCCATCTCTTGTAAATATGGTGAAATTTGGACGAATATTTATCGAAAGCCCAGCTGTCTACCTATTATTATACTGAAGAATTCCTTTGATCCTAGGAATTTTAAGCATGCAATCATGGATAAAGTGGGCCTATACACACTGTACGAGTATGTTTGACACATACAGAGAATTAAATTACATACGTACAATAGCTGTACAACAGGGATACCATATAATTGAAATTAATGCTCTCATTGCTAAATACTGCAATCAAACAAATAAACAACCTACAACTATGAACCAAAGACGAAGAGTAGTTCTCAACTATATACCTTTCCTACACTTGATGATTAAAAAATTAGCTCACAAGAATAATTTAAGAATGATTTATTGTTGTAATCCTACGATTTATAGAATTCTACGAAATGATAAGAAAGGAAACTGTAACAATAGTACAGGAGTATATTCTATTCTGTTAAGTGATCGCCATTTTAATTCAGATCTCGTTTACATTGGTGCCACTATGAGACTTTTAAAACAAAGGCTTAAAGAGCATAAATATTCCATTACTAAAAATTTGGATAGTACTGTCCTTGCAGCCTTTGCTAAACATCAGGATATTAATGTTCACTGGGACAAAGCATCCACAATTAGGACCGCTACTAACAAACAAGTACTTAAACATATTGAAAAGCTTGAAATTTACAAGGCTCATATTGTCAAAGGATGCATCAACCATAGAGATGCAGAAAGTCTATCCTCCACATGGAAATCTTTTTACCACAACAATTAATTTTTTCTTAATACTTTATTTTAATTTAATTTATCACGTAAATTAACGTCTTATTANCACAACGATTAATTTTCTTAATACAGTCGACTCCTGCCCCATAACACGGTAGATACATTCCGGTTTCTACGATATTCATTTTCTACGAGTCCTTAAATACATGAGCCAATCACAGCCCAGCACGTATGCAGTTTATGGACTATGGCTGTTTGAAAAGTTTTCTTCCATAAAATTAATCAATTCTAGACTAATTCAACTCAACATTCCCGAAATACATATAATTTTTTGGCAATAATCTAGATAAACTATGCTATAAACAAAAAATTGTAGGATTACTTACCAAGTGTGCACCGTTCAACAACACCATTGCTTAAGCTTGTTTTCATCATGGAGCAGTGCATTGAATGGCGCTTGCATGCTTCCTGATAAATTATTTTTCTGTGAAAAATTCACTGAACTTTGGAGACATCATTAATATAAATATAATTTTTATGGCCGTTAAATAATAAATGGTTTTTAGTGGGTCCACTGCTCATTTAAACTCAACGGTTTGTGCAATATCCGCTATTGGTCTAGATTTGACCAATCCTGTTGTGACATGAGTCGGCAATGACGTTTTACTGAATGAATTATACGAGTCTCTTTTAGCATGCTTATACGAATATGGTTGCAATTTTTTCACCATCATATAGGAATCTGAACTATATGAACCCAATACAATAGACCCGTTTTATAGGGGTCTATTGTACTTTATTTTATTTTTATTTTGTTGTAATTACTTTCAAATTTTTAAACCGTTGTATTGCTTGCATTCTATTTTACATTCTTTTTTGTTTTAAAGTGGTTTAACTGAAGAAGACTATTAAAAATAGTCAAAAACATTATTATTTTATTAAATACTTCGTTGCTGGAAATACTAAGGTGTTTGGTTATTTTAATCTTTTTAATTATGCTATATGACTGTTCAACAGTTAATTCAGAAGCTTATCCCTCGTGATCGGAAATGAAAACGCTGGTCAGGCAGACAAGTTGGTTCCATCGAGTAGAGGGAAAAAGAGAACACTGATTCTGCAGATGCAGAGGTTGGACTGACAGCCTGAGTCACCAGGTAAATGGCGACGAGCCCTGTGAGGGTCATAAAAGCGCATCAAAATTTCGACTAATTATGTAACTCCTAAGTCAAAGAGTTTCAAAGATCAAATCGGGTCAAGAGGATGTGTTGGTGACAGAACTCAGACGAGAAGAAAACTTTCTTACTTTTTGTAAAACAAACGCAACGCGATGATAAACAGCAGGGGGGGAATGTCCACAGAGAGAGAGCTTTGACGAGATGCTCGCGAACAAGTGTCAGGTCGAAACAATCGAGAAAAGGAGTGTTTAATGACTAAAGAGACATCTGTTAAGCCTGAACACATTAGGGTGTAAATGGCCACAAGAACATCTGGTGGACCGTTTACGTTCAAAGATGTCAGAGAAAAGGGCCATAACGGAGTAAAATACGAGCACAGACTTTAAAAGCTCTGTTATCACCTCTCTGACCTTTCCCAATCCAGATCGGTCTTAGGTTTTGCCTAGAGACAAAAGAATGACCAATCGGAGTAAGGGAGAGGGTGAACGGGACCAATCAAAAGAGTGATATTAGGGGAAAATCCTATAAAACCCCCAGATCTCAAAGACAACTAGTCGATTCTCCTCCAGACAAGTGCTGAGTAGATTCCAGGACCTCCGTCCACTGGCCAGTGACACTCGTCCAAGCTTCTCTGCCTGCTAAGAAGTGTGTGCATCAGAACGTCAACCATTGCCTGTTTACCAGTATCCTACCTCTGAATCTGCGGACTCTTCTCTTTGGAAGCCCCAGGGCCATTACAAGTGTCACACCATGCCCTACATCTGACGTTCCTTTTTTATTGTTCTTCTATTATTATGTAAGTTAAACTAGTTGTTAAAATAAACGGTTTGTGTAAGGTACCTGTCATCTTTGTCTCCTACTGCTACCACCCACACATGATTCGCCCCTAAGTTTTCCTGACGCGCAATTAACTTATTAACACTAAAAGTTGGCAACCTTACATTACTGACCTTCTGAGAGGTCAAAGCTGTCTTCTCATGTTGAAATTAACTATCTTCTTTATGCTGATGATGTCCTTCTCTTGGCTAATCCAGCTTCTGTACTTAGAGAAAGACTCAATCTTACTTGGAAATATTCTAAAGATAATTGATTGACAATTAATTTGGAAAAGACAAAGCTTATGATTTTTCATGGAGGTGGTAAACTTAAAAAAAACAGACAGTTTCAGTTTAGAAAACCATAAACTAGAAATTGTGCCAAATTTTAAATATCTAGGTTGTTTTTTTTTCTCAGGGCACATTTTCGTATCACTTAAATAAAGGTTTACTTGACGCAAGAGCTAAAATCTCTAATCTTATCAAATTGTTTATTAATATTAAAGCATTTTCATTAAGTAATTAATTTATATTATTTGATTCCTGATTGGACCAAGTATTTTTTTTTATACTTTTCCAGTTTGGAGTAGTCTATTAGTTAACAGATTTGAGGTAATATTGTTGTTCTACTTTAAGCAGGTATTCCATATTAATAGATCTGTCTCAGGATCTGCACTGAGAATGGAATTGGGATGACCTTGCCACACTATTAATTTATCAATAAATTTGGTTTGGTTTTGAAACTTATTGACCTACCAGACAACGATTAGCAAAAGTTGATATATACAACACTTTCATGGAAAAATAATAATTCTTTTTTGAAGCCATGGCCTGTTTTTGTGAGAACCTGGGGTTTGGGAACAATTTTAAGGTTTAAAAGAATTGTAAAATTTAATAGGAAATTAGATTTATTTTACAAAAGGGAAAGAAAGACAGAATTTTATTTAGATTCAACATTTATCCTTTGTTTCCTGTGATCCAGAAGATGTTGAAGTTCCTGCTAGATTGAGTTAGTCAGAAAATGACTGCATCAAGAATAGACCTGATTGGTTTTCATATTTTCTATAAAAGGTGAAAGTCACCTTCACTCAGGTCTCTTAGTCAGGACTATCAGCCTAAGCTTTTAGTTGCCCTATTAACCATTGGGCCTTTGTCAGAAGATATGAGCCCTCCCAAGTTTCCACCTCCTCCACCGTAAGAATGAACAAGAAGAGATTCATTCATAAATATGAAAGCTATATAAGCTCTCTCCCCTGTAAAAAGGATTAGGAAACAGTTAGCGAAATAAGTAGTTCTGCCATTTTGTGGGTTTAGGTTAATCCAAAGTATTTAGCCAATATATCTAGAGTCATTATGTTTGAGTCTTTTAGCTTTTTATAATAATTTGTATGCATTGTATATACTCTATGTATCTGAATAAATATCTAGTTTAATTATTAGTGGATTTGTCTCCTCTCCTTTTCCAGATTGACATGACCCCTCTGCCACTCAATGTTATCACAGGGTAATTAGATCAGCCTCTCGGATCTAATAAGTTACTATAGGCATTGCAAATTAGAACACAGATGAAAATAATTATTCTAACTGGTGTCAGGACTGATGTAGACAGAGATCTCATGATCTCATAGCGATCTTAGACAAGTGAACGAGGTCTTACATCTCATATTATAGTTAAAGGAATATTAAATAATATTGGACTATCCTCTAGTTATATGTATTTTTATTTGTTCTTTCTGGATTGTGATCAATGACTAAGAGACTTATATTGGTCACAAGATGTTCATTATTTGAGTGAAAAGGGTTGGGACTGGAACTTTTCTTAATGGAATGTGGACTCCAGTGCTATATTTATTATCTAATTTGTTACAAAATAGTCATTTGCTGCACAATTTAGATTAAACAGATTTTTGATAAACTTAAATAGTAAAATAATTAATGTCTCATGTGACACTAAGTATTCTTTTTGTAGAATGACAGTGATGAATATGAGAAAACACATTCTTGATTCTTGTAATACTCTTTCGGATATTTGAGCTGCTATCACTGACATCTGATTTTTATTATCAAATTTTATTCGGTGACAGTTTCACCATGTTAACAGTATAAATTTCTTGTTCATATATAATATTTAAAGTAACAATGTAATAACACCCATAAAATCAAATAATAAAGATTGATTGATTGATCGATTTTCTATTAACAGACAAAGCATAACTTATTTCTGAAAAAAAAAAAAAAAATAGAAAAAAGCTTGTATTTATTTAAAAAGTTCTAGTGAGATTAAACTCAAATTATACAATTTAAGCAGGCATACAAAAAATGCACTGCATGAACATTCTTAGCACATCATTAATAAATAAAATTATGGATAAACTGGCCATGGTGCACAGTGCACACAGTGGAAATCATTGCTTTAGCTCAATGAACAACATTGTTACAATGAAAAGAACTTCTCTGATCATAAAACATATTTCTGACTTAATGACAATTTATTTAAATGGGAAACCTCTGAATGAATTTTAATCCTGATACTTATGTTAAATATTTCCTGAAAAATCATCACTCATCTATGGATTCTCCTAGAAGAATCAAAAAACATGACGGAAGAAGGAAATACAGCTTTTGGCAAAGTGTTTTTGATAGTTATGTATTTTTTTTTAAAGTTATTATTGTGATGTTTTATTTTCAGCTAATAATAATTTTTGTTTTTATATTGTATAGGATAATATATAATGGACATCTTTGTTTACAATATCTATTAATATAATATTGCAGATTTTGTTTTTTGTAATAAGTCAAATTATAACATTTTATTAACATTCAATTTTTTGTTTCTGTCAGAAAAAATGAGCCTATTGTTAAAATTTCCATAGCTCACTATTGTAAATGCCATCTATATTTATTATGACAGAATTTCCACCTTTTCATTGTTTCACATTAAAGTTGCAACACTTTTTTGTGTTGGTTGATGAAAAATTACAAATTTAAAAATGGTTACTTTTTATTTCATCATTTATTGTATTTTTCAAAATTCTATATTCTTTATTATGATTTATTATGGGTTATTGTCACTTTCCAGCTGTTGCTTTTCTTGTTTGATAACTTCCTAAAATTCCTTTGTTTCATTTTGTATCTAGGTCCCTCTCCCCCTCTTTTTTTCTTCCTATTCTTCTCCTTTAAGCCATTTTATCTACTTTCTGCTGTCATTTCTCATTGGTTAACAGACAACAATGCAAGTTCACATATAACCTTAAAATAATAGATCCAGAAGTTGTGGTTGGTATCCTTAACATCAATTGGTCCTGGTGATATATATATAAAAAGAGAACAAGATAGAAAAGTAGGATTTTTTGGGTTTTTGAGTGACATTCAAGGTATTAAAGAGTATTCCCTGACTTACTGAGAGTGTACTGAATGTCAGGTTGATTGGTAGTCATTCCATTGGACTTTTTCAATGGAATAACAACCAATTGGCTTATCTAAAGAAGTTGTGTGCTATTTATTGCTAAAAGATTGGGAAAGAAAGAAAACAGCCTAGAAACAAACATTCTGTTTTTAGATTTTGAGGAAGGAAATAGAAAGCCATTCTTAGTTTCTCATAAGTTCTATGTTCCTTTGTTCTCCAACCTTGTTTTGAGACTTTGTATTGGTAACTCTTCCTACCCCTCCTTATCTCCTACTTTTTTCTTCTCCATGCTAACAAATTGCAGCAAAATATATGTCAGATAAATTTTTAACATAAGTTTGATCTAAATTTTAGGAGGTTGGATTGCAAAATCTCCTGATTATTGTCACATCATTTCTTCAACATGAATTTCTTAATTTCTTCTCACATGAATTTCTTTTGAATGCTAGAGATGCCAAAGCCTTGTCATCTGCTTGGAAATATATTATGGAGAAGAAATTAGGATAGGATGGTTTATGTTTTCCTTACAACCAAGAGTTTTATTATTATATAACTGGATTGCTGTATGTTAGATGTTCTAACATACAGCAATCCAGTTATATAGTGAAAAATCAAGAAAAATAGATCTAACTGAGTTTTATTATTTTTATAATTTTTATATTTACTTTATTAAATTTTTGTTATTTATTTGTTCATTTATTAAATATAGATTTTTCACTATTATGTCAGTTATTTTGTTTCTTTCTTGTACTGTACATTTATTCAATTTAAAATTCATATTATGTTCTAAAATTTGTATTTAAATATTTAATAATGTTAAAATTTGAAAAGTTTTTATTTAAAATTGTTCTATTGTATTTACAATAGTTAGTGGGTTGTATTCTGCATTTGAAGATGACTTTAGGACAGCTTGAAACTGTGTTTATTAAACATTTTTTCAGCAAAGATGTTGGAGTGTTAAATAAATATTATTTTTTAATACTTAAAATGATCACTAGTGCATTGAACCAGTTTTCAAATTACATTTGAATCCGACTACTGCTTATAAGACTTGCTCAATACTAAAAGTACATTTTCTGATAAAAATTAGCAATTGCACAATATTTCTTGTTTTGAAATATGACAGATTATATAAATTTCTTTCTGTTTTTCTTTAAAATATTGCTAAAACAAAAAAAAACCTATACTCATCCAGAATAACAGTTGAAATATCCTATTAAAAGGATATTTCAACTGTTAGTGTTTTTTAATCAATTACATTTTGAGTGAGCAAATAAATAGGATACATACAATTACATTTACAGTTTAAGTATTGATCTATAATTTTCATGAAGGAGAAAACAAAACATTAAAATACACTCATATTTAAGTAGAATAGTTGCAGGAAATTCTTGTTAATTCAACCTTGGATAGTTTGAAATCCCATTAATTCATAACTTTACAGGATTGTAGCCAGAATTACCTGAATGTGAGTTATATATATGATTGATGGCTTGCATAAATCTAGCATAGTGATAGGCTATTGTATCAATAAAAGTACAATAAATCACGATCACTAGCAACACATTATTGTTCAAGGAGCTGCCATACTGATATGGCAGTTTCTTGCATATTGCATGCAAGCTATAATCAAACCAGTGGTACATATAACAATGTTCAATAAAAAAAGAAAAGGATGAACTGAACAACTCTTGAATTTTATTTTTCTTTACATCATGTCTATTCATGTAGCATAGTATTTGAGTGATACACTGTTTTTCTGTTTCATGCAGTGGTCAACTGCTTTTGGCATTTGTTGTTTTTACAATGTTTACTTTTAAACCCAAATGGGATGGCATTGAAGACAAAACAGCATTAGTGTAATCACTTGCCATCTCGTGGCTACATCCCTGGAGATATATTTTACTATGATTTAATACCATGGGTAAATATGTGTTTATAATGTGAAAACACACTACTGAAAAAATTAATAAATATAAAAATTCAATATTTAGATGCTGTATGGTATTAACTGGACATCTTAATGAATTATCATCATGTGTTTTCAATTGGAATAGCACATTAATTGCAACTGGCTCTTCTGACAAAACTAGCTGTTTATGGGATCCACGCTCAGGTATTAAATTATTATTGAAATATTCCTGCTAGATATTATTACAGGATCTGGCAGGAAAATGGGAAAATATAATTAGATGCTTAATAACATTTGAATATTTTATTAAGAAATTTTCATGTACTAGATTTCAAACAACATAGTTTGCCATTTATTTTTGAAAATGACATCACTCAAGTGACCTTCATTCATGCATAATAACTCATTGTATCTTCAAAGTATGTCATGCATAGAGTGGCATAACATATTCTTGGGTATGCTATTAATTGCATGACAAAAATTTGTCATGCAATTAATAGCATACCCAAGAATTGCATGACAAAAATTTGTCATGCAATTAATAGTGTATATTTTAATAGTTTCTACACTTTGTAGACAATCTCCATATATATTTGTTCACAAAATATTGAAATTCTTAAAGTAAAAACTCATCATGTATTAATAAAAACCTGAAATTATGTTGCACCACTCTATGCATGACATATTTTGAAGATGCAAAGAGTGATTGTGCATGAATGAAGGCACTTGAGTGATGTCATCTTCAGAACATAAATAGCAAACTATGTTGTTTGAAATCTTGTATATGAAAATTTCTTAATAAATATTCAAAGGTTGCCTGTTTTCCTATCTGATCTTGTATAATTCAAGATTTGGAAAAAGCATCTAATTAAGTTAAGATGCTTAATAAAGTTATTAANAAAAAAATGCCTCAGTAAAAAATATTTTTTAAATAAAATAAAACGTTCATATTGAATTTATACAAAAATTACAAATAAAAATTTTATATATTAATTAAACATAAATAACATTGTTTTAGATACATATTTTATTTTCTAAAAAGTAGTTTTTGTTCATATATTCATTGTAGGTAGCAAGGATAATGTGTGTCGTATCTGGAAATAAAAGATTTGTTTATAATCACACTGTAATAAATTTTTAGCTATGTGAGTGAATTTATCTTTGAAAGTATGAAGTATTTGCATAAATATTATTGTTAGAAAATTCTTTATTTTTTTCAATCATAACAAATGTTTAAGTTAAAATTGTCTTATCTATTTTTTCATCAAATAAACAAATATTTTGTAGTTGAAATTGAAATTTGTTACATCAACAATGTCATAAGAATACAGAAATATTACAATAAAATTTAAAATATAAAATCTACTATTTAAATATAAGTAATGATTTTATGATAACAATATTGTATAATTTTTAAATAATAAAATGAATCCTATGTAAAATTAGAGATCCTGAATAACATTTACAGGAGAGTATTGATTATTCAAGATAATCAGTAAGAGACAGCTTTGGATAACTGAGTTTTTTTTATATATGTTAAATAAAGTAAAAATATTAATTTTAGTTCTAGTTAAAAAAAATTATTTATTCAACTTTTTATCTCATCTTATTTTATTTATCAAGAAATATTCTAATATACTATTCTTCAAATTAAATACATACAAGTGATAAGAAATAAAAAAAATTGTATAACTTATTAAAAGCAAGCACTAAACTTTCATTGCTGTCTATAATGTACTGATGAAACTTTGAATTCAAGATAAAAAGGTAAAATTCAGGTATGTATTTTCATTTTAAATTTAATTTTGAAAGAAACATGTTTGTTTTAAACAAATAGTGCATAATCTTATTCTGTAGTAACAGATTTTTAATTTCATTCTTAATCTTTAATGCTGAGTAGTAATCAGTTCAGTAACTCTGGCTAATCTGAATGCCACTTAATTCAACCAAATTTGTTAGTTTTTCTCTAAATGTTTCAACAAAAAAACCCAGATTATTTTTTTATAAAGATTTAGTTATAAAATTAATATATTGCATAGTTAAACATAAATGTGTAAGCACCAAGTATATTTTGAAAAATTTTTATACTGTTTGTATTTGTCTTTAGTTCTTTTTTATTTCCTTTTCTTTATTTAGCTAATCCTGCTAATCCAAACACTTCTGAGAATAATTAATTTGGATTAGGGAAAATGCACTGCATTATCATTCTAGAGTCACTTGGTAATAATAGCCAATAGCAAATATAAACTTTCTCAGTTTATATTTAACATTTAATAGTGTTTCTGATCTTAAAAATATTTTTTTTAAAAGTGAATTATCATATTTATCATACATGTAATTGGTAGGTAAATGATAATGTCATTCTCTCCACATTACTGAATTGAAAAAGATATAAGGATCAATAGTAGTTGAATATATATTTTCTTTGTTTTATATATTTGTGTAATAAGTTGTCATCTGATGATCGTTGTTTAACTTCACAAATAATACAAAATATTTTGTGTTTTATATTTTTTGCAATCTTTCATAATTATTCTCATTTCATTTTTGTTTCAAAACAAGTTTAAATTTGTCATTAGTAAAAATTGATTTATTGCATTTTATAAATTAAGTATGAAGCGTGATTGATATAAATTGCTTCTACATACACAAGTTATGTCAATATTTGAGTATGTATTTTTAGAAAGAAAATCTTCACACATATCAACACTAATCATATAGACCTTCATACTTATCTATAAAAAGTCTGAATCTTTAAGTAACAATATTTAGCAAGTTAAAATTTATTTATATTATGTATATAATAGATTAGTATATATAATCACAATGAATAAATGAATATAAATATTAGATAGATTCAATCTGTTTGTGAAAAGTGAAGAGAATCCAAATTAGATTGAAAAAACTGTTTCATTAATTAAATTTTCAACTTTTTATCTTATCTTACTTTATTTAGCAAGAAATATTCTAACATACTATTCTTTTTTCAATAACAACAGTTTTTAAAAACATTTTCATACATTAGTCTTGTAAAAAGTTTAAGCAGAAAATTTTTTTATATTGTAATTGAACATGATTGATCTAAAATATTCTAAGAAAGCTTCAACTAATTGAATTTTATTCTTAAAAAATTATTACTGTTATGTATAAGAAAATTTTTACAAAAGGATACACTGTGGCTTAAAGGTATTTTTAAAGAAAGCACAAATATTATGATTTATTAGAAAATTATCTACTGGAAACATTCATCCATGTTTCAGGAAATTTATGAAGTGTTTAAATCAATTTATGTTTGGCAAAAATTTAACAGTGGTTTGTTGTAACATTAATCAAAATTAATCACTGCATTAATTCATTTCATTGGCAAAAATAAAGAATGTATTAAAAGCCTTGGCAAAATTTCTGATTAGGAGATTGGCATCAAATCAGTTCCAAAATGTATCAATTTTTCTACATTGTTTAATAAGCAGATATACTTTCTGTATTTGGCACATTAACAAAATAATTCTGCCAACTTTATTTTAAAATGTGTTATCCATGATCTTATAGAAATTGAATGATATAAAACACTTCAAAGTATTTATATTTAAAAAAACAGTTGTTTGTCACTACAATCATTATTCTTGTAAATTTAAATAATAATTAACATTATACAAAACTCAATTAAAACATAAAGAAATCTGATTTATCTTTTGCGGATATATAATTTTAAGCTAACGACAGATGTAAAAATTTTAATGTATGATAAATGTTAACCTTCAAATTCTTCAATAAAATATTTTTGCTATTAGACTTTAAAAAAGTCATAAAAAATTAGATATAAAATCTATTTTTAATTTGATTTTATAAATATTATGATCATTCTTAATTAAAATCATCCTTTCAAAATTATTAATCTACAGATTAAATAACAGCATATCAAAAATTATTTTGTACATCAAATCAATAAATGTAATACTATTAAAACAGTAAATAATTATTATATAATATTATTTGTTTCATGTTTTAAATTTTGCATGTTTAATGAATATTAAGAAATAATTTACAGTATATAATTTATAATTAATCATTTTGTCAGAAATTATTTCCTTTAATTTTTTTCAGGATATTTCATTCATTTCAGGATGGTCCATTTATAATGTCCCTGACAAATATTTCTTATAATATGCCTCCTATTACAACTTTTATTCAGGTTAATTTTTATTTATTTTTGAGGAATCTTTCCAATTTCATAAAAGTTAAGCCATCCTTTGACTCCCTTTCAAGGTGAGCAACTTTAGAATTTCAACATGGGACACCATTTTTTTTTCTATTTTTGAATTTGCCATTAAAGAAAAATGAAGTTTTATTTAAACTTTTTCTAAAAAAAAAAGTAATTTCAAAAGTTATGAGCATTTTTAGTCATATTTTAAAAAGTAACAGTTAAAGAAATGTTTTTTTTATGATTTAATTTATTGTAACTTAAGATATTTAAATATCTTAATGATCAATATTTAGATAATTACATAATCAATTCTGTAATTTAATTGAGATAAAAACTTAAATAATTTTCATCCAGAATTTTTTTGGATAGAATGCAAATTTTTTGAGGTAATCATCTTTAAAGAAGGAACATTTGTTTTGATCCTTCAAAAAAACAACATGTTATTTTCATATGTATCTATGAAATTACTGATAGCTAAAAAAAATGCCTCAGTAAAAAATATTTTTTAAATAAAAATGGCAATTCTGTTAAATGATTTGATTTCTTATGAATTAAATATGATTGAATTAAATAATTGCAATTAAATAAAAACCAAATAATAAAAAATTCGAGCATTTATTTTTGTTATTTACAATAAATTTTCTATACTGTTGGAAAAAATACTTTGTAAAAGTATAACTAAAAACTTAAATAAATTTTATTATCCTTTAATTGAGAATCCAAAAATGGAAAAAAATAAGTGGTCCCATTTGAAATTCTAAAGATGATTCCATCTCCAATAAAAGGGCTAGAGATAACTTAATTTTTATGAAATTGAAAGATCCCTTGAAAATAAATAAGTTTTATTCTAATCAATTTTTTAATTGGATGCTTATTTTATAAGATATTTGTCAGGGGCATTATAAATGCATTACCCAGTAAATGACAAAGTAATAGAAACAGGTATTATAGTTATCAAATTCTTCTCTGTTTATCTTCTAGCAGATTACTTATTCATAGAAAATAATTTGAAATATTTTAAACTTGAATACAGTATATTGTAGAAATAAGATCATTCATTCAAAGTAAATTTAATGTAAACAAAGGCA